TATAGCAAGAGGATTTAAAGAGGCCTTACAGATTTATAGAGGCCTAATAATTCTACAACAGTCCCCCCTTAAAATGTTATTTGCTAAAAGACAAAACTTTATTTGTTAGTATCAGAAGATGTGTTAGCCCAAAGACACAGAAACCCCATGACCGCTGACTTAGTGTTAATGCAAAGTGCAAGTCTATCCCTCTCTTGACCCTAACAGGCTGCAGCACATCCATCAGTACGGTTCAGGAACACTCTTCACTCCGCTGGTAACCCATAGTGGCTTATCCACTACTTCTCCGTACGGCAGTCTACCCATAAAGACGGACGCTGTCCCTGTACTGTCCCTTCCTAGACTTTCTGCACTTCATCAGTATAAGGGAGAGTTTGTAGTGGAATACAGGGTGAGATGAGGTCTTGATCATCGATTGTCAGATGAGTGAAGGTTGGTGTTGCTTGGTCTACAGTTTTCTGCAGGAATTTCCTTAGGCATGGGAGGACACAACAAATGAGAAGAGCGAGAAGAAAAAGAAAAATTAGTAAGGCAATACCAATCTGGACTAAAGCTCTCTGCCAACCAGTCATCCAACCAAACCATTTTCCCCAGGGATCAGTAACTCCAGAGTTTCTCTTTAACTCTTCTGAGAGTCTATTTAATTTAGCTATGGCCAGAGTGACTTTACCATTAGGACCTGTGTTTTCTGGAATGTAAGTGCAACAAGTCATAGTGTCGGGAAGTATTTTACAGACTCCCCTTTTTTCGGCTAAGATCATGTCTAAGGCCAGTCTGTTCTGGAAGGTCATTTGGGATGTGGCCTGTAATTGCTCGGCCAAGCCCTGGAGGGCATCCCTGGTATAGTTCACGAAGCGCTGTTGGTTGTAATAGATATAATTAATCCAATTAAGGTTTTTGTTGGCAGTGACTATAGTGAACAGTGATTCAAAACCTGCAGCTACTTCATCTCTAGCTTTAAATTCATTAGGCACCCCCCTAGGTACCCCAATGGCATCTATGTAAATGTGGGGGTCAAAACTGCTTTTTACTGGGGTTTTGCACCTCACTCTGGCTGGTGTATGTGGAGGGTCGTATGTGTCATGATGATTATCAGAAATAATATGAATGGGCATGATAACTTTGGCTAGGGTACACTCACCCCACCACTCAGTTTCCAGCCTAGATCTTAACTGTAGATCCCCACATAACCAGTAAATATCCCCCAATGACCTGGTATGGTGTTGCAGCAGGCGTATAGGAACAGTTCTGTAAGTGGCGCAATAACCTTTAGAAAAATTACCCATGAATTTACCAATCCCGTCATACATGGCATAACAAGTGTAATTACCTCTATAGACTGTGATTCCATCTGGTGGCTTAACATTTTCAACTAAGAGAGGGTATTCTGCCGTCCATGCCATGCAGAGGGATCTGTTGAAATTATAGCGGTAGGCAAAAAGACTACGGAAGCAAGTCTCTATCTCCAAAGGGAGAGTTAGAGGAACGGTGCCAAGATGAGGTCGAGCACCACCGCACACATAGCATGCGGTTTTGTTATGTTTATTAGCATTATATTTCATCCACTCTAACCACAAATTAATGTCATTGAATCCAGTTTCAGCGGCCATGGTATCTTCAAAAGTGGGGTTAGCAATGGTCATCATATCTTTAAAGGACTGGATATGTGGTTTTAGCGGATTTGGGACCATATGATCAGCCCCTTGCCACTCTGGAGAGTGGTACATATCTCTGAGGTAGAAATGACCTAATTTGTTTTAGGAACCTTTCTTCCAATACATTCCCATTACATATCGGTCTGCATCCTCGGGGCCAGGATGTTCAATATTTAACATTAATTTCATAGGGGTACTTCCTCCAGGCTTTCTTAAAGTCATTCTTTGAAGGAGGGATCTACCCTGATTGTCTATCTTAGATAAAGCACTTTGGGTTTATAACCCCAGACAGGCCCAGTATTCCATCCCGCAGCCCCCCAGTAGTTACAGTCATAACCCCATTGTTCATCTACTACACAAACGTAAGGGTCTTTTGCTTGTGGTATATCTTTATAAATAGCTTGAATCTGTGACTTAGGGAATGGGCACTCTACAATATCACAGTAATCAAAAGTGAATGTAGCCACATGGGTACATGATGAATTATACCAGAAAGTGTACCCACTAGCATCTTTGGTGATGGCCACCTGCTGGGCTTTAAGGAGGCCAACTAAGGAGATAATGTACCAGAGTCACATGGTTGCATAGAGTTAGCTTCCTCTGGGGCAGGTGTCTTCTTGCAATGGGAAGCGTGGATCCAGTTAGGCCTTCCGGCCAATTTGACAGAGGTAGGGAGATCAGGAGAACTTGGAACGGACATTTACTGTTTTCGCACAAATTTCTTGACCAGAACCCAGTCATCGGGGAGCAGACTGTGGTTGCCTGTGTCAGAATCAGGATCTGGAATTGAAGAGAAAACTTGGGCATGGATTTTGTTCAAAGCATTGGCAAGTTCAGTTACATAATCTACTAAAACATCAGTTTGAAGTTGTAGTTGTTGGGGAAAATAGCAACCTAGCCTAGGTGCAGTCCCAAATAGAATCTCATATGGGGACAGTGAGGTAGTATTTTTGTACAAGAGCATTCATTAGATCCTTTGATAAATGTGCAGGTCCGTGTGCCCATTGTACGACTGCTGGGTACAAATTCTTAGGGAGGCAGAATCTGAGATTGTTGTAATACACTCCATCTCTTAGAACTGCCCCTTTCTGTTTCCACTTCTGTATTTCTTCAGGGGCAACTGTAGCCTGTTGTTCCCGCAGGATTTTTAGGTCAGTTGGAAGAGTCTGCAGAGTAGATATGGGAGTTTCTTCATTTCCGGACACTCTTCTTTCCACTTCCTGTGGTTCTTTTGCAGCTTGTTTTGCAGCCTGATCAGCTAGATGGTTGCCCCTTGCTTCATCTGAGTCCAACTTCCCATGTGCTTTTATCTTCAAAATAGCCACTTCTTCTGGGAGTAGGAGGGCGTCCATCAGCTCCTTGATTGCGGAACCGTGCTTGATTGGTGTACCGGCGGTGGTAAGAAATCCTCTTGTTTTCCAAATTAATCCGAAGTCGTGAGCCACGCCCAGTGCATATCTTGAATCCGTGTAGATATTGGCGCGCTTTCCTTCAGAGATCTTGCATGCTGAAGTCAGGGCTTGCAATTCAGCTTCTTGTGCAGACATAGTTGATGGTAAAGATGATGATTTGACAATTTCATCTGTTGTGGTTACGGCATATCCTGTATGGTATCTTCCTTCTTCATCAGCATATCTTGAGCCGTCCACAAACAGGGTGAGATCGGGATCTACCAATGGGTCTTCATGCACAGTTGGTAGATGTGTTGTTTCCATTTTCATCTGTTCAAAACAGTCATGAGGTGTATCTGGGTCGTAGTCATTCACTATGGTTAAATCTTGGAACTCATTTTCCAGGAAATGACGTGGCCATGCTTTTAGGTGGTCAGTTGTTGGATATTTGACAACACCATTTTCCTGTAGCTGTGATTCGTCCATAGTGGCCCATGCTTTTGCCATAGGCCCAAGATCATTCCATGATATTGTTTTCAACTTGGTCACAGGGACATGTGGAATGGCAGTGTCCCAATGACGGTACAAATACTTGAGTTCCGGAGGTAGATGAATCAAGACCATACTGTTGCCTTCAGAATCACAGTAGAAGTCTTGTGCAGTGAGTTTTACTTCGACCAGATGATAGAGTTCATTTTCATAGCAGGGTTCAGGAGTGATGTTTGATTTGTACCACATGGTACAGAAGGCATATCCTGCTCCGTCATGAAGGAGTGCTTGTCCATCATGAAAGGATAGGTTGGGATGCATTTCCTTCTTGATGGTGCCAGTGAGAAGAAAAACATAAGTTTCGTCCATGATGAATCCATAGGATGAATCCGTAGTATACACCCCCCTCAGGGAGTGGCAGAAGAGTGGACGGATTGAGAACTTGACATCTTGGAAGGGTAATGTTGTCAGGCAACAAAAGATGACATTGAAGGCGAAGATGCCTAGCAGGAGTAACATGCTTAAGTTGGACCTGGTTGACTATGGCAGAAATGTCATGGGGGGCCAAGACAACCAGGGGGTGGCCAAGGACAAGATCTCCAGTTCTTTCAATGAGCTCTTTGGCAGCAAAGACGGCCCGAAGGCAAGAGGGACGTCCTCTGGCCACAATATCCAGTTGGCAGGAGAAAAATCCAATAGGCCTTTGGCGGCCTCCAGGACCATGAGCCTGAGTGAGTACTCCTGTTGCATGGCCTTGTCTTTCAGAAACAAACAATTTGAAGGGTTTGGTATAGTCTGGCAGGCCAAGAGCAGGAGCAGAAGCAATAGCACGTTTGAGAGAACAGAAGTTGTCAAGGGCTTCTGTGGACAAGCAAAATGGGTCTGACTTGAGGGCATCATAAAGAGGTTGCATAAGGAGCGAGGCTTCTGGGATCCATGCTCGGCAATAGGAAATGAGGCCTAGGAAGGCGTGTAGTGACTTTGAGGTCCTTGGAGGTGGAATGTCCAGTACTGCTCTAACTCGGTCACGGTGAGATGTCTGGTTCCCTGAGACAGACAATGGCCAAGGAAGATAACAGTAGGTTGGCAGAATTGCAGCTTGAGACGTGAAGCTTTACATCCTTGTTCTACTAGATAGCAAAGAAGATTAATTGAGCAATGTTCTGTTGTGGGTAGATCATCTCCACAGTAAAATGGGAAGGGAACAAAGAACTGTAGTGTCTTTTCGTGACAAAGGTGTATTTAATTGAACCTGGCCATCTGCAGTGAGGGTGATGGATGCTTGGAGGCGGGATAGGACATCAGCACCAACACAAGAGACATCGGTGTCAGGCAGGAACGATGAGTCAGGCAGGTCTTGTTCTCTAAGAACACTTCGGGCTGCACCTGTGTCAACTAGGAAAGTGGTGGGCTGGCCCTCAATGGGTAAAATTACAGTAGCTAGAGGCCCCCCCTTGTTCCCCTGAAGACACTGCCATAACAGGGGCATTAAGCATCAGTAGGTTCTATCATTATAAATAATGGGTAATAGTAAGTGAAGTAAAGTTCCTATATGTCTTTGGATAAAACATTAACTATTGCGGTACTATCATTTATATTAATTAGACTATAACAATTATACCACCCTGTAACTAAAATGAATAACCAGTAGTGGCTGGGTTAATAAAACATGTGACAAACCCTTCTAATGCTAAACCATCATTTAAAGTAAAGGATGTTACTGTAAACCTACGATCTGTAACTAGCAAGATTCGATTAAGTAAAGATACAATGTTTAAAATAACTTGCATTATTTGGCTATTTCCCTTGTTGCAAGATTAATCTGGATAATCAGCTGTTATGCTCTTATATTCGTGTCCAACAGATCTCATTTGTAGGTCACACCACAGTTGCAAATGACATTTTAGCAACCTTCTTTTTTTTTTTTTATCACGGACACATTTCTGATACAGGGAAACAAATGGCATGATTGTTTTAGTAGTAATTATAATGTTTCAGTTCATAATATGTAGAGTGTAAGTAAAACAACATGTCTCTAAATGGGACGAGCATAATAGGGGTAGGCCTCATGATGGAGGCAGCCATGACAGGGGCGGGGAAGGAAATGACAGCAAGGGAGGAAGTGAGAGGGGTGACGTCCATGATATGTGTGGGAAGGGAAGACAGGAGGTGTGGGCATGGTAAGGGCGGAAGTGACGTCACTTTGGAAGCAACCGTGACTGTAGATGGGTCACGGGACTGGCAGGGTCAACCTCCTTCTGTACTAGGCGCCATCTTTAGGGTGGTGGCTGATGCACTTTCAACAATACACTATATTATAACTAATAAAATAAGTCAGAGAAGCAACATTCCGTTCTGCAAAATGAAATACTAAACTATGAACAGACCTGGCAGGTTAAATAAGACAGTTGAAAACATTATGCATTTAACAGCCCATATAGCTGTCTCTAGAAACATGTTCTTTAAAATGATGCAAGATAAACTCACGGAATTCAACCAATTTCCCTTATCATCCTTCACATACTAGCTTAACAACTTCGCATATTCCCTCTATCCACATTGCATAGTTTTGCAACAAATCACGCTTGCCTTTACACTTAAGACGTCCAAATATTCCTCTATTCTTGTATCAGATTCACTTACTTAACCTCCGTAAATCAACACTGAGCTACATCCCTGACTCCCTGTCTTATACACCAGTCTTGGAGAGAATACTCAGAAAGGTGGAATGCATTCTTGTGAGCGAGCCCCCCCCACAATCTTCACTGCCTTATCACAAAACACAATTTATATATATATAAACGGCAAGCGGCAACAATAATAATATTATTACACAATTATAACACCATAACCTTTGAATTAGAATATTTTCCAGCAAAAATCCCGTCTCTAACTCTTATCAGCAGCTCCGAAATGCAGAAGGCATGTCACTCCTCCATTCGGAGGCAAGCGGGGAGGAAAGGGGGGGGGATGTGAGACAGTGCAAAAAGGGGAGAGAGAGAGAGACTGCAGGCATGAAGGTTAACTATGTGAGTGCTGGAAAGTAACAAGACAGAAGGACAGAGACTTATACGTTTGGAAACCAGAAATCTTTGACGGGAGAAACGGACTGGAGGTGCAGGGAGCTGCAGAGAGAGGATGAGGGTGACGAGATCTGTAGGACTGATGGGGGGGGAAATAGGGATCCATCAGCATCCAGTAACACAATTATTATAATACACAAACAATCTTAAACCTTTGTGATCAATTTCTTCCTCAACCTATCCCTTTTGCTGAATATCTCTTGCTACTCGGTACCAGGCTTCTGCTGTACAAACCAAATCGTGGTCCGACAGCTTCCCCTTTCTTCTCTATCAGTAACTTACGCCAGCTCTCTGGCTGCAATCTGCCGCACGGAGGTACGGTAATTCCACATACTTTAGCAATCTTCCTCACTTTCTTAACCATCTCTTCTCCTTCTCTGTCTTCCACTAGATCACATGCTAACCAACCCTTACTGGGTTTATCTAACTTCTGTCCCATCCTCCCTATACAAGGCGTCCCAGATATAGAGAGAGAAAGGAACAGAACGTCTACCGTGCTCGACTGCTACTTTAAGAGCAAGCTCTTTAAGTACGTCTTCCCAAAGCGTAGACTAGTCACTGATTCCGCCTACCCGTGGTAGCCGCGGATTGGAGCGTGGCGAGAAGTGTGTGACCAATCACTTCTCTCAACAGAGAAAGAGAACTAGGAGGGGAAAGTGTAAGTAGTACAGTGAGTAAGATAAAAGTAAACACAGGAATCTGTGTGACAG